GCAGCTGCTGGTATTGTTGCACCTGCTCTGGTTGTAGCTGCAACTGCTGCTGTTGCTGTTGAAGCTGCTGCTGCTGAAGTAATTGCTGTTGCTGCTGCTGTTGCATCCCAAAATAAGGCTGCATCTGCGACTGCCTCTGCGGCTGCTGTTGTTGCTGCTGCAGCTGTTGCTGCTCGTATTGTGCGACTCCGAAGGCCTTCTGGGCCAACCTCAGCGTGAACTTGCATTCCAAGGATATACCACCCTAAACCCTAAACCGTAAACCCTAAACCCTAAACCCTAAACCCTCAGCGGGACAGTGGGAGATAGCAAGGGGTCCGCGCACATCGGAAGCTGAACAGTGTGAGAAGTCTGGTGCTTGAGTCAAGGCGCTGTTCTTGATCCAGCAAGGGTGCCTTCGGCGGGAGCAAGCAAGAAGAGGGTTTAGGGTCTGGGGTTTAGGTTCAGGGTGTAGGGTTTAGGGTTTAGGGGTTTAGAGATCTGTAGAGATCTGGTTCTGAGGTCTAAGGTGCGAAACTCAAGACGCCAGGAAGACTTCACTGCTGGCGTTTGCAGACTTCGGCGCAGTCATCCAGCGATCACGTATGAAATTGCATGAATACATAGCCCCAGGACATGTATGAACATATACTGGCCAAGCAAGAAGGCGTGCCTAGTCCCCGGCTCGCCCCATCCACAACAAGAAAACCACCGACAAGAACAAGAAACCGCCAATGACGGTAACTAGTAACCCCCGGTACTTCCCCCCGTGGGCGGTTCGCACTTTGGAGGTTGGTTTCACCTCACCCGGCTCCCTAATTATCAGGCAGGCGCATTTTGGAAGTTTTGACACCGGAAAAGCCCAACTTCCCCAAACAGTGTTCCAACACTATAGGGGTTCCTACGTTCAGAGTAAAGGCGGGTTAGATCAAGTGGCACGACCGACGCCCGCGAAGCGCCCGTAACGTACACTATTCGTTCCTCGAGCGGTGGTCGCATTCCTGACGGAAATCGTGCTTTTACCACCCGCGCGGGTGACGCCCCCGACTTCTCGGGGCCTCCAAACATTGCAAACGACATGCGTTCTCCTAGGATGGCCCCTCTGAAGACCCTCTGAAAACATTCCTGAGATTTGATCCTCTTGAACCCAAGAAGGGAAAGTATACACTGCCCAAAGGGGCCTACGCAGAGTTCTGCTTCCTGGATGTGATGTCTCTCGATGGGAAATCGCGCTCCCGCCTAGGCGCCTTTCGTATTGACGTCGCCACCCTCGTTTGGACATCGGGATCCGCGAAATGCGAAACTGGCATCGCTTTCGGACGTCGGGGTTCCCCAAATGCGAAACTGCCGTCGCTTTTGGATGTCTGGGTTCGCCAGATGCGAACTGTCGTCGCTTTTGGACGTCGGGGCTCGCCAAATGCAAAACAGTCGTCGGGAAAGGCACCCTAAACTCTCACCTCGACACCATTTCAAAAGCAGCAAGCTTGTCGTGGACAGTCTCTGGGCGGGTGGGCACGTACCCTAAACCTAGCCGACGCTCTGCTTGACCCTTCTCATAAATCCCTAGTTTGGTCTGATGGGTTCGGGGTCGTAAATCGATGGCAAATCAACAATCATAGTGGTGGCTGCTTCGGGCTTCTCAGAATGCGGGCATCTCATGAAGCATCTTCAGCTGGCATGCGATTTTATATGATTCTACCCTTCCGCCACCCCCCCGCCTGCACAGTGGCTTGTGCTTGCGCGTATGCTTGAGCTTGGGCCATGGCTTGCGCTTGGGCCATGTTGTGGGCCTGGGCCAAGTTCTGGGCCTGGGCCATGTATTGGCCCTGGGCCATGTGAGCCTGCGCCTGCATCTGGGCAGGCGGCGGCGGTGTGTTGAGGCGCTGCTTCAGCTGCTGGTAAGCCTTGGCCCCGTGGCAATGTGCTGTCTTATGCAATGCACAGAGATGCATGGAAAGAACCAATGACTTAGAAAATGACCCTAAACCCTTTTGCATCCAGGTCTCACGCCGGGCTTCACCAGATTCACCCTAAACCCGAAAACCCTAAGCATCAGTCTGGCAACACGCAGACTAAGTCCAAAAGCCCATGCCAATGCAAACGTCCGTGCTATCTTCTCTCTCTCTCTCTCTCTCTCTCTCTCTCTCTGAGATACAACCTAAACCCTAAACCCTAAACCCTAAACCCTAAACCCTAAACCCTAAAGCCCCTTTACCTCTTAAGTGCGCAGAGGGCGGCTGAGAGGGACCCGCCAGAGGAGCTGCTGCGGTCTTCCCTTGCAACCTGGCAGCAAAGCACCAGTGCCTATGGGTTTAGGTTTGGGGGGTTTAGGGTTTAGGGTTTAGTTGGGACTCGACTAGCCACGGCACAGCGGTTCAGGGTTTAGGGGTGGGGTTTGCGCGTGCTGGCATGTGACGATTTCTATCCGACTTTAGAGGTACCCAAGGAGCTGAATACCCCTCAAATTAAGGAATATACCTTAAACTTAAACCATATTAAGGATCCCTGTGTAATTTAAGGTATGTTCCTTAGGGGGTATTGGGCTCTCTGGGTAGAAGGTGTGGTGGCTGAATGCTTGGCTTGAGCTCTCGTGGTGTTTGGAGGCTTTTTCAGCAGTCGGGCTTCGATCTCGAGCCCACAACCGTTTGAACCAGGGCGCTTTAAGGGTTTAGGGTTTAGGGTTCAGGGTTAGTGTGGGCTTAGGGTTAGGGTTGAGAGCCGAACGAGAAAGAACGCAAACCCGACGCTTGGAACCCACAAGAAGACCCTAAACTTTGGGATGTTGCCCCTTATACTAACAGTCCTTAATGGGGATGATAGAGCAATTTATTCGGACTGTTCGTGTAAGGGGGAACATCCCAAACCCCAAGCTTCAAAGGATCTGCGATTGAACCTGGGGGGCTTCGGGAAGTTTAGGGTTGAACCCCGCAACCCTAAACCCTAAACCCTAGACCCTAGACCCTAAACCCTAAACTTTACAACTCCTTCCATGCCTCGTTGTAGTGGTGTACCTGGGTAATCTGGGACCTCGGAGCACTGACGTGAGGGATGCTATTTTTTTTGAGCCTTTCTCAGCTTCCGCACAGGGCTTCCGGTCTTGGGCAAACCAAGCAAATAAGGTGGAACAAAAACCCTAAACCCTAAACCCTAAACCCTAAACCAGTCATGGAGCCCCCCCGGCCCCCCCCCCCCCCAATTTTGAAGCCACCAGCAGCTGCTGTGTTGTGAAGTGCTCAAGCTTGATCCCGACCCTTGAGCCAACAGCATTTTGCATACATACTCAGGCTCAGGGATACAGTAAGCTGTTGGTTTAGGGTTTAGGGTTTAGGGTTTAGGGTTTAGGGTTTAGTCGCTCACTCTCGCACAAGGCAGGCAAGGTCCATGGGTCCGTTCGTCAAACTATGCTACTCTGCGACATGTGAAGAATTGCATACCCCGTGGTCAGTCAGGTCCAGGAAAAGGCACACGCCAGATATCAGTGTATGTCAACAAGCCACGACGACCACATCGGTACGACTTCACTGTGAAACCACTCATGCAAGGGACTTCCTTGATGGCCTGTATCGATGTCGACCAGGACAAACCACAAGAAACTAAGACCCACCCCCAAACAATCCAGCAGGTGATCCCGGTTGCCCCTCACATCTCATCGGAAGAACTCAAATGTACAAAGTATAGCTCACCGTCACTTGTTATTCGTTTAGGGTTTAGGGTTTAGGGTTTAGGGCGTAGGGTGTAGGTCTACGAGCTGCGTAGACCCTTTTGCATCCTGGCCTTCCCTTTTCAACCCTTAAACCCTTCCTTGGATTCCAGATAGTCTTGGGGTCCAGCGTTACGGGCGCTGGCGAGGATTTTAGGGAGGCTCCTGGATTCTTGCCGCTTTTTTGAGGGTGTATGGGCGAGGCCGGGTGACCTTGAACAAGAGGCAAAACCCTAAACCCTAAACCCCAAACCCTAAACCCTGCAACACCATAGAGCCCAGTGGCGCAGGTGGTGGAGGTGGTGGCGGCTGCGACTGAAAGTCAGCCGTGTGCTGCCTTGGCTTGAAGTTTCCAGTTGTGGGGCCATATGGTTCAACCATACTTCAATGATAAACACATTTCTGCACCTGTCATATTTGTGACTGTGATATACTTTTCCGGGGCAGCTAGGGATGAGATTCTGGTTTATGTTATCCAGAGCTTGCTATTTCCAGAAGCACGATCGCAGGTTGCGATGGCAGAGTGCCGATGGATGCCGGCTTTCAACGCGCAATTGACGCACCTGCTGGGTCGAATGTAGGGGCCTGAATGAAGAATTAGAATCAGGTCTTGGGGGTAATTAAAGTACAACTAGAAATACAAAGGGACCCAAAGGGAATGCCATCAGTATTTATTCCCCCTATATTGCTCTCAGTGGGCTGCGACATGCAAACCGGATTTCATAGCCAAGCGAGGTTACGGCTGCACGGCGACACCATATGCATTCTCTGTGTCTTCTCTCCCTGGGCCTCAAAAGCTTGGCTTAGGGCTTAGGGCTTAGGGCTTAGGGCTTGGGGCTTGGGGCTTGGGGCTTGGGGCTTGGGGCTTAGGGCTTAGGGCGTAGGGCTTAGGGTTCAGGGTGTAGGGTTTGGGTAGCCCAGTAACCATGTTATAGTAAGTCTTTTGTGTGGGGTGGTTGCTTTGTAAGGGGACCTTGAACCAAAAAAAAGGGGCAAAAGGGCACTGGGCCACGAAGGCTCCCTCCAGGGGCGTGGCCATCCGCCAGCATCCTGCGCCTGAAGCTGGGTGGGTTTAGGGTTTAGGGTTTAGGGTTTAGGGTTTAGGGTTTAGGGTTTAGGGTTTAGGGTTTAGGGTTTAGGGTTTAGGGTTTAGGGTTTAGGGTTTAGGGTTTAGGGGAAGAGGATTTGTAGGGCGGCTTAAGATGTGTTGAGTGCCTGGGATTTCGGGTCGTGAGTTCTTGTTTCTTGTTTTTGCTGCGAGGGCTTACTTCGCCAATAGCCAAGGGAACAACAGGTTTACTACAAAAGGTAACCCCAAAAGTTAAAAGTTCAACCTGCTGGCTAAGTAAGAGGGTGGGGTGATGCTGGGATATGTGCGACTTGGGGTCAAGAATGTGCTTGGGATGCGATTGCAGACGCTAAGGGTGATTTGGGCTTAAGGCAAAAGGCATAAGGAGGGCGCTCGCATGATGTGAGTGGAAAAACTCGGTTCCAATTTGGGCCCAAGTAGTACGGCACCTCATAAAACAAAAAAACACCCCCCTTACCCAAACAAAAAAAGGACAATCTTTTCGGATGTTCCCCCTTATTTTGTTGATTATAACAGGGGGTACTAGAATCCTTTTCAAGGACGTTTAGTATCAGCGGAACATCCCAACAACTACCCATCTGATTCCTGGAGAGAGGGCCGACCTGCCGTGACACTGTGGACATGTCTGACCTGACCTTCGTAGGAGCCTCATCCTTCGACCCATTCCTACTATTTCGACAAGAACCCTCCCCCGACCAGGGGCCGACCGCGACCTCCCCCGCCAAAAAAAACATATCTTCCTTGTAAGGGTAGTATAAGGATTGTCTTTTAAAGGGTTGTATAAGGATTGTGTTTTATTTTTTTTGTGGTTCTTAAGCAAATAGTAGATTCTGGCACGAATCGTGCAAGCAGGTCCCTGCCTGCTTCATGGGTTCCTGAGTCGGCTCAGAAAACTGACATGCTGTGACATGCTGTTGGTTGAGAAGAAATGCTGCACAGCCAAAGAAAAGGATGAAGCAAAACAAGAAAGAACTGCCAGTAGTCCTGCTGAGGTTCGCTAAACTTCTCGAAGCTCTGGAACTGTGGCTGCTCCGCCATCATGGCTCTCTGCTTCTCCTCCTCTTGTCTCTGCTTTAACTGCCAGTAGTCCTGCTGAGGTTCGCTAAACTTCTCGAAGCTCTGGAACTGTGGCTGCTCTGCCATCATGGCTCTCTGCTTCTCCTCTTCTTGTCTCTGCTTTGCCTCCTCCTCCTCCCTCCGTCTGGCCTCGGTTGTCAATGTAAGCCGCTTGTGTGTTTGTTTGTGTGTGTGTGTGCGTGCGAGCGTGCGTGCGTGTGCGTGCGTGTGCGTGTGGGTGTGTGTGTGTGTGTGTGGGTCACCAAGAGCTCCACATTTGCTGGAAAGCAAATTGTCTTGACTTGCTGATGGACAGAGTGGCTAGTGCTTGTGACTCTGGATGTGTGTGTGTGTGTGTGGGTGTGTGGGTGTGTGCGTCTGTGTGTGTGTGTGTGTGCGTCTGTGTGCGTGTGTCTGTGTGCGGGTGTCTGGGTGCGTGTGTCTGCGTGCGTGTGTCTGTGTGCGTGTGTCTGTGTGCGTGTGTCTCTGTGCGTGTGTCTGTGTCTGTGTGTCTGTTTCTCTGTGTCTCTGTGTCTGTGTGTCTGCGTGTCTGCGTGTCTGTGTGTCTGTGTGTCTCTGTGTCTGTGTCTCTGTTTCTGTGTGTCTGTGTGTTTGTGTCTCTCTGTGTCTCTCCGTCCGTGTGTGTGTGTGTGTGTGTTTGTTTGTTTGTTTGTTTGCTTGTTTGTTTGTTTGTTTGTTTGCTTGTGTGTTTGTGTGCGTGTGTGTTTGTTTGTTTGTTTGTTTGTTTGTTTGTTTGTTTGTTTGTTTGTTTGTTTGTTTGTTTGTTTGTTTGTTTGTTTGTTTGTTTGTTTGTTTGTTTGTTTGTTTGTTTGTTTGTTTGTGTGTGTGTGTGTGTTTGTTTGTTTGTTTGTTTGTGTGTTTGTTTGTTTGTTTGTTTGTTTGTTTGTTTGTTTGTTTGTTTGTTTGTTTGTGTGTTTGTGTGTTTGTGTGTTTGTGTGTGTGTGTGTTGTGTGTGTTGTGTGTGTTGTGTGTGCTGTGTGTGTTGTGTGTGTGTGTGTTGTGTGTGTGTGTTGTGTGTGTGTGTTGTGTGTGTGCGTGCGTGCGTGCGTGCGTGTGCTTGCGTGTGCGTGCGTGCGTGGGTGCATGGGTTTGTGTGTGCGTGGGTGCGCGGGTGTGTGGGTGCGTGGGTGTGTGGGTGTGTGGGTGTCTCTGTGTCTTTGTGTCTCTGTGTCTCTGTGTCTTTGTGTCTCTGTGTCTCTGTGTCTCGGTGTCTCTGTGTCTCTGTGTCTCTGTGTCTCTGTGTCTCTGTGTCTCTGTGTCTCTGTGTCTCTCTTTCTCTGTGTCTCTGTGTCTCTGTGTCTCTGTGTCTCTGTGTCTCTGTGTCTCTGTGTCTCTGTGTCTCTGTCTCTCTGTGTCTCTGTCTCTCTGTCTCTGTGTGTGTGTGTGTGTCTGTGTGCGTGTGCGTGTGTGTCTCTATGTGTGCGTGTGTCTTCCTATTGTGTGCATGGACTTACATGCATCATGCGGAAACAATCCGGGCAGCCTCCTCCTGCTGCCTTCTTCTGGCTTCCTCTTCCTTCCTTTGCAACTCCTCCTGCTCCTTGCGAGCCTCCTCCTCCCTTCGCCTCGCCTCCTCCTCCTCCTCCTCTCTCTTCTTCCTGGCCAGCTCCTCCTCCTGCCGCCGGCGCTCCTGTCAGAAAAACCCTAAACCCTAAACCCTAAACCCTCAACCCTCAACCCTCAACCCTCAACCCTCAACCCTCAACCCTCAACCCTAAACCCTAAACCCTAAACCCTGAACGCAAGGGCAGGACGGGTAGGATATTGTGTCCAGGGCATCTGCTCAACAGGCCAGACCCCACTCTTCTTCAACCCTTTGGGTTGGGGTATAGAGCCTCCTCTGCCCTCCGCTGTTCTTGTTCTGCCTCTTCTCTCTGACCTGGCACATGCATCATATCAGATGCAGGGATAGATTCGGACAGATGGTCTTCGCTCACGACGTCTTAAGCTCTACGAGTACGCTCCTGCATGTATAGGGCTCAGGCCGTCCAGTCGGTTGAAGCACATAAATTTCATTAAGGTTGGTATCCAACATCCCCAGTTTCATGCCACATTGCTGGTAACAATGTAGCATTTCTCCTTGGACCCTAAACCCTTTTGCAGCAGGCCCCCCTTAACTCTAAACCCTTTTTTGAAGCTGGACTTGCTGACCGCGAGACACACCCAGCTCTATAAGCCCTGAACCCTTGTGCTGGCAACTCCATGATCTGTGGGTCTTTGAGGCTTAGGGAATCCCTAAACCCTAAACCCTTGGCTTTAAGTGTGCAAGCAAGCTGGCCCAAGCGACGTGCGGCTTCCTCCGCTTCCTGAAGCTCACCTGCAAACCTGCCAACAATCGAGATCTGCGGAAGGCCCTGAGCCCTTGTAGCCCAAATCCCCACAGCCTCTAAACCCGAAACCCTAAAGCCGCTTGGTAAGCACAGAACCCTGTAGGGATCACCTTCCGTTGGTTTGCCTGTTTATAGCTCGGGCCGCTGGTCATGGCTGCTGCTTTGGTTTAAGGCTAGCTTTTTGAATGTTTTTGACTTTACAGGACCGCACGCAGCACAACAAACGAGCCTACTGCACAGAACCCTAACCTCTAAACCCTACAACCCTAAAACCCCAAAACCCTACCCCCTAAACCCTAAAACCCTAAACCTCTAAACCCCCTTTGGCTGCCAAGCTTTCGGGCTTGGAGTCTCAGAGTTGTCGTGGCCCTCTCTGAGAGGAGCCTTGAGGATGTTCGGGTTTGCTGAACGTTGGACATAGAAGTTAGGCAGACAGCAAGAGCAACATGTCGGAAGCCCCACCTTCCCACTAGATCCCGAATCCCGGCGAAGTGAGTACACCGGCTTTGTACCCCCACAGGCCCTTCGCAACCCCCAACCCAGCAACGTAAACATCGCAAGACCCGTGAAGAGTCTGAAGTCCCTGTCATCCCGCGTCATATGCCTCTGAAATTCCTGATCCTCTATGGCCTGGAGAGCCTGCTGCAAGTGGGTTAGGGTTTAGGGTTTAGGGTTTAGGGTTTAGGGTTTAGGGTGTAGGGTGTAGGGTTTAGGGTTTAGGGTTTAGGGTTTAGGGTTTAGGGTTTAGGGTTTAGGGTTTAGGGTGTAGGGTGTAGGGTGTGTAGGGTGTAGGGTGTGTAGGGCTTAGGGCTTAGGGCTTAGGGTTTAGGGGCCAGGGCTACAGTGGCAAGGGTTGGGCTCGCAGGAGTCAACGATTCAGGTTGCTTACCAGGCTGGGCCCCTCTGACACAAACACTCCAAAATACTACCGTCTTAGACCCAATAAGGGAAAAGTATTGTTAAATATGACCATCTTAAACAAGATACAAAAGATTGCTTAGGGATAGGGCTTCGACATCTCACACTCGCCCAAGGCAGGGTTTAGGGCTTAGGGTTTCGGGGCCGTCTATTGGGCATCGAGGTCGCTGGCCGCCTCCCGAGGAATTTTAGCTTGACTACCAATAACTTAACACAGTCATACATAGCAGAAACACAAGGCGCAAGAACTCTCGCAGAGACTCCGCATAGAAACCAGCAAGGGTTCCTAAGAATCCTGAACATCCCAAGCTTCACCAGCTCCATTCCCAGACAGGCGCGAAGGCCACCCGAAACCTTAAGGACCACATGAACCCTAAACGGGTTCACTTGGTCCGCATTCCCAGCCAGGCGCCTGCTGTTCGGCCATCTGCCGCTGCTGCCGCTCTTGAATCGCACGTTTTCTGTCCTGCGTCAGCTAGCACCCTAAACCCTAAACCCTAAACCCTAAAGGTCTTGGGAGTCTTGGATTCCATGGCAAAGCCTACCCTGCAACCAGGACTCAAGGCCCGACCCTGAAACACTCAAACTCAAACCAGCAAATAGTCATGAAATCATATCAGCCGTATGAAATTTAAAGAAAAAGTGCGCAGTGAACAGACTTGAAAGGTTTGTAAAATATCAAAATGTAGTTTCTTTGACAGGTACTCGAAAATATAGTGGAATGGAAAATCATTAAAACATAAAATGTAACACATCATCTGTTGTAATATACCGTGTAGAAACCCTAAACCCTAAACCCTGACTCTATTCTTATATAGTATGCGGTTGCCGCCCCCCCCCCCCCCCGCCCCCGCATCACACCGAGCAGGGTTTAGGTTTTAGAACACTCTCAGCCGTCATTAGCCCTTGTCCAAGCCCCAAATCGGTTGCTCACCCCCCCTCCCCCCCCCCAAAAAAAAAAAGGAAAACTAAACCCTGCGACCACAGCTTTTGTTCAGGAGGGTGTAGGGTGAGTTTAGGGTTTAGGGTTAGAAACCTCAAGCCTCCATGCCTGGGCCCTATCTTAAACATCAACGCCCAAGCTCTGAACCACTAAGAACCCTAAACCCTAAACCCTGTTTTTGCATCTGGACTCCTTGCTGCCAGGCTGTAGGCAATGACCAGCTGCTAAACAGAAGGCCACTACACAATTAGGAAAAGCAACACACAACCATGCAGCACTCGTGACCACACAGCCATGTGCCTCACATTTAAGGTGAAAGTATGCACGCCTGCAGAACAAGAGAAACCTCATTGGCGCATTGTACTCTCAATTGCTCCAACTCTCACGCCCATCTCTAGATAGAGCCCGATGAGCCAGGAGAGCTGTGCAGACTGAGGCGTGGCTTGTACAATGGCACGGTACTTCTGACGCAAATGCCGCAACCCTATAAGCGCCTCCGCATCATCAGATAACTGGGGGCCAGAAAGGACTGCAAAAATGTGGCAGGCTCCTCCATGTCTTGCCGTACCACAACCTGAGGATCAGAACAAAAAGCCTGAGCACGCGTAGCCCTCGCATTTGGCACCAGGTTGAACTGGAACACCAGGATCGCACACGTGCAATGACGTGTTGCAGGCTGACTCTTCGACATCCCGCTCAAGAAGTGGTTCCTGAACATCACCATCCTCACTCGATCCAAGCCGTGCTTTGAGAGATGACACGTCTGGCGATCCACCCTTTTCTGCAATATCTGCTGCCTGACTCCCAGCATCAGAAGAAGAAATCCCCGCTGGTCCATGTTGTTTGGCAACCTCCTGAGACTGAGTGACACCAGGGCATACCGCAGTCATCCCATGTATCGAGTTGTACCGGCAGAGGACTGTCTTGTTGGTGTTCCATGGTTCTGCAACCTTGTCAGCACTTGGCGGCATGCCGTCTGCCCGAGTCACAAGGTACAATGCTTGACGCAGGTTGGCAACAACAGCAGGATCAGCAACACTTCTAGTAGCAACTCGGGCTGCGTAACCAATGAGCGCAGCCAATTTAACCACCATTTGAAGGATTCTGGCATTTGCCCCCTGGGGCCTGGTAGCAAAATGGCTTGAGCCAAAACCGGCTACGGTAAACCCTCAACCCTCAACCCTCAACCCTCTCAACCCGGAACTGCATTTGTAACCACTCCAGGACTTCTTTGGCCCCCTGCTTGTTAAAGAAGGTGTTCGGGTCGCTTTAGGGGTTTAGGATTTGCTGTAAAAGGGTTCCGGGCCCTCAAAGTCAGCAAGATGGCCCCACACGCTAAGACCCTGTAAGGGATTCGATAGGGTACCTCATTCCCTCATTCCCTACTAAGAACTTAGTTGTCCAGCAACCTGGGGGAACTAAAGGTTAACCTTTGGGATTCTAAGGGAATTATGCTACCCCAAAAAGGTTAAAGGTTACCTACTCTACTACTAGGAGAACCAGCCAGACGATCCAAGATCTGCCTCTATATCTCCCTGGAAGGGCTGGAAGTCAATAGCCGGCGTCCCGTTCTCAATCGCCCGGGGTGCCTGGCACCCTAAACCCTAAACCCTGGACCCTAAACCCTAAACCCTAAACCCTACTTCGTTGGAGCCCCCGGACGCTAAAGAGGCGAACCTGGCGCCTTTGAGGCCTTCTGGCTGCTTGGAGGTTCAGGGGTGGTTATAAGTAGGGTTAGAAGTACCCTAAAAGGCAATTACCCTAAGTACCAAACTAAAAAACCCTTGTAGCTGCCCATGAACCTTCAAGTAAGGTACAGGGCGGGTCGGAAGATGTTGAAAGGTTCAGGTGCGGGGCGCCGCCCCCCTTGCGGAGTTGTTGAGGAGTTTAGTGGATATGTGTGTGTGTGTGTGTGTGTGTGTGTGTTTGTTAGTTTGTTAGTTTGTTAGTTTGTTAGTTTGTTGGTTTGTTGGTTTGTTGGTTTGTTGGTTTGTTGGTTTGGTGTGTTGGTGTGTTGGTGTGTTGGTGTGCTGGTGTGTTGGTGTGTTGGTGTGGTGGTGTGGTGGTGTGGTGGTGTGGTGGTGTGGTGGTGTGGTGGTGTGGTGGTGTGGTGGTGTGGTGGTGTGGTGGTGTGGTGGTGTGTTCTTGTGTTCTTGTGTTCTTGTGTTGGGGCGGGGTTGGGTGGCGAGGGTCACTCTCATCTAGCGAGTGGGACTTGCATCCAATTCAAATTCTGCCCTTCAATGGATGGAAGCTCTACCAGCAACCACAAGTGTCACTGCCGCATGACTTTCGACAGGCAAAGACCTCCATGTTGTAGGCCCGGCACTTTCGTTTTGCTCGATGAACTTGGTCATTTAAATGAAAGTGCTTGACCACTCTGCACATTCTCCATGCTGACGGATGCACTATCTTTTTGAATCGAAACTTCACGTCATCCCGTTGCTTAGTGGCGCAGCCCGTAGCCGAAACTATGCCCATATTAAAAATCAGGGGCCAAACATTCCATGCAGCCTCTGCATACGGACACAAGGACCAAAACGCAAGACATACTGGCACGATCACAGGACAAGGCACAGATAGAAAAACAAAAGCAATAATAAGAGTCATTCGTAAGTAATACACGTACTGCTCATTGTAACAGTCTCTTGAAACAAGGAGAAAATTTACAACTGCGGAGTGGCAAAATTGGCCGGCAACGCGGACTCGGGTGCAGCCGGTACGACATAGTCAGAGCCGCCATTCCTCGGCAAGGTTCCCTTTACGTTAATATAACCTATTTTATGATATGGAATATTTTCATATTCACTTCTATCATGTGAGATGGTGATTGCATGGTACTACACCATAATATATTATTCACGATTTCGTGTCCGTATAATCGCAGTGCATTTTATCAAAACAGAATTGTAAGCTAAAAGTGTCAGAAGAATAATCGCTGCTATTGTACTACTTTTCCAGCATTGTGCAAAAACATGTTAAGAATTTTATTTGTTTGCCGTCGCATTTTCTTAGTAGCAGTATTGGTATGAAGGTAGTACTATTTTAGTGTTGTTGCTATTACATGCTTATAGGACTTAGAGAACCTAGTAAGCATCAGGGCATTCTTGTGATACATATTCGACAAGCTGTCCTGTGCCGCTAGGGCATGGCAGCCTGCAACCACACCTATGGTCTGTAATGACAACTATTGTTCGAGTACTCTCACAATAATACCTGAACCCGCAACCCCATGGCACAATGGGCTTAGGCTGCCGCTGAATTGGCCCAGGCATTGGCGGCAGTTCATGCTCCTCCGATTCCCCACAGCCCGACAACCCTCAAAGCAGTAGATGCTGGCGGCCATCTAGCGAGAAACCCTGCAATTTTAACCCGCAACCCAAGCAACACCAGGCCGCAAAACACAAGCAAACTGAACAACCCGGCATCTGAAGACCACCCTCACCTGCGCCACTTGCACCATCTCAACATGGTGAGGGCCTGGCCAAGAGGTCTGTTGGGGTGTTTGGGTTGTCGTTAGTTTACAGGCTTTGTACGGCTCACAGGGCTTATGTGGCTTTATACGGCTAGATAGGATTAGAATGGCTTTGGGCTTTTGGGTTTATAGATGCTGGCTAGAGGAATTCTTGCGGCGCCGAAGGGCAACGCGCGTCTTCGGGATTTACTTGACGCCGCTTCGCCTTTCTTGAGGTGTGTCGTACACAATGGCGCATAGCGTCGTATTCGAAAACCCGAAGCCCTAAACCCCAAACCCCAAACCCTAAACCCTAGCCTGTGAATTGGGATGAAAGTCCTTAATTGGGATTCTATTCTAGTACTACTATAATCCCTAGTTAGGACTGTATGTTATGAGGAACATCCCAACCTATAAACCCCTTAGCCATGTTCTCGGGGGTTCAGGGTGTATAGGGTTTAGGGGGTTTAGGGGGTTTAGGAGGTTTAGGGGGTTTAGGGGGTTTAGGGTTTAGGGCCTGGAGGTCTCAGACTCTTCCAATCGAAGTTTGGCCATTTGTTCCAAAAGGATCCGGAATAGGCTCTTCTGCTTGGCGTGTGACTCGCTGATGTTCCGATTTCAGCTGCTCTTGCGTCTGAGTTCCATCCTTCCTTTGTCAACCGACATATCGGAGTCTGAAAGTGCCCTTCGCACGGCATGTGGTCCTCACGGGTGGTGACACCTGCAAACGAAGTCATGCGTCCGGTGACCGAGTAGGGCATGTCCAGGTGCAGTTTGATTGATGGCATGCTGCTCCGCTAAACCCACGGCAGCATGCAAGCTAATTGCCCACGGAGATTTTGGAACACGATTGCCAGCCAGCAAGCCCTTCAGCGCACCACTTGTGCCCAGAATATCCCGAGTCTGGAAGACAGTCGCACGGATAACGCCAGGCAAGACACCCTGCTCCTCTTGTATGGAGCTCGTGGCAATGCAAAAGCCAATTACAAATTAATCCGGGTTTGCTCAGTTGAGCCTCCGTAGCCTTGAGCCGTACTTTCGAAATCCTATACTACGATTTGCTTAAGAACCCCCCCCCTCCCCCCCCCCCCCCCCCCAAAAAAAAAAAAACTCTTCCTTATAAGGGTTATTTAGGGATGATTCCTTTTTGCCTTTTTGGGGGTTCTTAAGCAAATTGTAGTATAAACCCCAAACCAAGGGGTTGTTGGGGTTCTTAGGGTTAGCCGTCCACAGTCGTCACTAGCCGTGTTGTCCGTAAGAAGGTGTTCCACTGGAGGCCTCAGCGTTGAAAGCTTGTGCATTGCACCCTCGCCGCTGGGTTCGCCATTCAACAAATTAGCATATGGGGTTTCTTTTAAACTTGAACACCCGAAACGTTGCCCTAAACCCTACAAAACCTAAACCCCCAGCGGCCAACCCAGGTAAGCGTTGAGCAAGACTCGTCTGGTTTGTAAGTCCTTCCAAAACATCCTAGGGTTTAGGGTCTAGGGTTTTTTACAACCCCAATGACCTCTTTTACATGTCTAGCCCTGCTTGGGGGTTTAGGGTTTAGGGTTGAACTCTGCGGCTCTGCAGCAGTGCCTGTTTGGACGTACTGCCAGTGCTGGCCCTGCTCGGAGTAGTCGCCGGCCTGCTTCCAGCAGCCATTCTCTCCCGCCCCCCAAAGAAACTAGGGCCATACCTGAAATGATATTAAGGATCCTCAATATGATTTAAAGTAGATTCCTTAATTAAGGCGTATTGGACTCACGCAGTTGTGGGTCCCCCAGCCCCGCCCCCCAGGAAACGAGTTTACGACCTCAGCAGAGTTGACGCTTTGTCGAGGGCCGAATGCTTGCTTTGTCGATATTCGTCGCAGAATGTCAAGCTTTATTATTCCTTTTCCATTTGTTTCCCAAACGGGCTCCTGCAATTTATGAGTCCTATTGAATATGGAGGCCCCAAAAGATTGAAGCGCGACGTGTGCGAAGCATGCCCCAAACGTCGAGCATGAAGCATGCTGCCAATTGACGATTCAGAGGTCGGGCGGAAAGTTGGGCGGGCGCCGAGGGGGGGGGCGATACAGCAGTTGTACTTAAGGAGCACTCTAGGGGCAAATCAATCCTTCGAGGAAACTTGCATGAGGGCACAACATTCGTGAAACCAGAACGATCATTGCAGGGCTCTTTGGCTACCGGTGCTAAGGGCACCTAAGTGTGGACGAGATCGAAACACTTGACGAACGTCGCGACAGTCTGCATCAACGTTTCCGGTGGTAGTTTTGCGATTTCTTCTTAACTTGGGGATTCCTGTGACCTTATGGTGTAGAAACTTCCCGAGGTTCAACGGGACACGAACCTGGAAACCAGTGCATATGTCGAGCACGAGTTCGAGAAAGGACATGGGAGCCTCTGGGTGAGCTAAGAAAGTGAGATAGTGAATGAATCGAGAAATCCACTTTGGATCCCAGTTAGGTATGGGTTGGGGTAGCCGGGTACTGTAGCTACTTGAGGGGATTGGCTTCTCTTCCAGTTCTCCAAGAAGCTTGAAGCCTACTCTTGGCCAAGTAAGAATGGCGTCGGACCCAGGCTGCCTTATATGCCACGAGGCTCACCCCGAGGCCCTAAACCTAATCCTGGGGTTGTTGAGGAGGAGCATGCTGACTCTTCCCTTGGGCTTAGGACTGATGGTCCCAGGAAGCCTTTTCTCCGAGCACGTTCGGATGCGCCCGGGGTCTCCATTATCAGGGCTTCGCGATTGAGGCCGACTCCCCAAGAGCCGAGTCATGCCGAGCCTCTAGGGCTCTAGAGCGTGCCTAAACCATCCCCCAACCTCCCTTAAAAACCCTAACCTCCCCCCCAAAAAAGGTGTACTCCTGGAGCTTCGAGCTCTCGCGCGAAGGGAAAATCTTTTGGGAGCTCATAAGAAGTCGCAAGCTCCAAAGCCCGAAAGCGCATGAGAGCTTTGCTTGGGGTGTTAGGGGGCTTCAAGAGGGCTTCAGGTTGGACCATCAAGATTCTGAGATGTGACGTCGGAACCTACGTTCTGAACCATATTCCTTTTGCGCGTCAGCAGCTATAGGAGTTTTGCACGGAGGCCACATAAACACTCGCTTCTGCTGTGCATTCCTGATTCTTGCTGTGGTGCTGGAAACACAGCGGATGCTTGGAGCTTGCTCTAGGCCACTCCCCTTGCCTTGCGATGTGAGCCCTCGCCGCTGCTGCAGTGGGACAGGCACTGCAAGCAGGATGCCTCAGGGACTCCTGAGATGTTTATACTCCAAGATGGATGCTCCAAGTTCATGCAAGGCACATCCCGGATGGACTCTCTTTTGAGCTTGGTTTAGGGTTTAGGCCCGGGTTTAGAGGTCCAAATCCTAAACCCTAAACCCTAAACCCTCTCTTTCCACACACTACGCATATTAAATCGACAAGCCCTAAACCTTAAACCCTAAGTTTAAAGGGCTATGGTGCCGGCACAGGCTCCCCTTAAGGCTCGAATCGGCTGGAAGAGCACTGCAGACAGCGGCCAGGGCTCACGCACAGACTGCAGATTCCGGGGGCCATGGGGCCCGTGCTCCCCGTGTGGCCTATCGGACTGCAAGCAGGGCCTCAAAGAAGCGTGCGGTGTTTAGGGTTTAGGGTTTAGGGTTTAGGGTTTAGGGTATAGGGTAAAAGCGTGCAGTGTTTAGACTCGCTTCAGTGGCACTTGGGACATGTACGGAGCGTCGAGGCAAGATGCGTTGATTGTTCGACGTGTTCTTCTGTCAGTCCGGACTTGCAGTCAAGGGACCCGTATATGGGTTTAGGGTTTAGGGTTGGGGCCTTAGGGCCATAGAGGTCCTTTAGGGGCTTTTGGGACTTAGGTATATAGGGACTATAGAAGGTATATATGGGGTTCTGTAGGGGAATAAGATCCCTCAAT